AAAACCACACAAACGCACATAACGCACACAAACGCACACAAACGACACGCACAAAACGCACACAAAAAACGCACACAAAACGCACACACAAACGCACACAAACGCACACAAACACACACACAAACACACACAAACACACACAAACACACACACACACACACAAACACACACAAACACACACACACAAACACACACACAAACACACACAAACACACACACAAACACACACAAACACACGCACAAACACACACAAACACACACAAACACACACAAACACACACAAACGCACACAAACACACACAAACGCACACACACAAACACACACAAACACACACAAACACACACAAACACACACACAAACACACACACAAACACACACAAACACACACAAACACACACAAACACCCACAAACACACACACAAACACACACACAAACACACACACAAACACACACAAACACACACAAGCACACACACACAAACACACACAAAAACACACAAACACACACACAAACGCACACACACGCACACAAACTCACACAAACGCACACAAATGCACACAAACGCACACAACCGCACACAAACGCACACAAACGCACACAACCGCACACAAACGCACACAAACACACACAAACTCACACAAACGCACACAACCGCACACAAACGCACACAAACGCACACAAACGCACACAAACGCACACAAACACACACAAACACACGCCAACACACACACAAACACACACAAACACACACACAAACACACACACACAAACACACACTAACACACACAAACACACACACAAACACACACACAAACACACACACAAATATACACACAAACACACACACAAACACACACAAACACACACAAACACACACAAACACACACAAACACACACACAAACACACACAAACACACATAAACACACACAAACGCACACACAAACACACACACAAACACACACACAAACACACACAAACACACACAAACACACACAAACACACACACAAACACACACAAACACACACAAACACACAACAAACACACGCAAACAAACAACAAACACACACCACACAAAAAACACACACACACACAAAACACACAAAACACCACAAACACACACAACAAACACAACAAACACGACACAAAAAACACACAACACAACAAACACACACACAAACACACACACAAACACACCACAAAACACACACACAAAACACACACGCAAACACACACACAAAACCACCCCACACACAAAACATCACGCAAACACACGCACAACACACACAAACACACACAAACACACAAAAACACACACACAAACACACACCCAAACACACACACAAAACACACACAAACACACACACAAACGCACACAAACACACACACAAAAACCACACACAAAACACACACAAAACACACAAACACTGCACACACCCAAAAAACACACACAAACACACACAAACACACACCAACACACCACAAACACACACAAACACACACACACAAACACACACAAACACACACAAACACACACACACAAACACACACAATCAAACACACAAACCACACACAAACACACACAAACAACACAAACACACACACAAAACTCACACAAACACACACAAACACACACACAAACACCCACAAAAACACACACAAACACACCACAAACCACACACGCACAAAACACACACAAACACATACACAAACACACACACAAACACACACACGGACACACACAAACACACACACAAACACACACACAAACACACACACAAACAAACCCACGCACACAAACCCACACACACACAAACCCACACACACAAACCCACACACACACACAAACACACACACAAACATAAACACAAACATACACACAAACACACACAAGCACCCACACAAACACACACAAACACACACAAACACACACAAACACACACAAACACACACACAAACACACACAAACACACACACAAACACACACAAACACACACACAAACACACACAAACACACACAAACACACCACAAAACACACACAAACACACACCACAAACACACACAAACACACACACAAACACACACATACACACAACCACACACACAAACACACACAAACACACACAAACACGCACACAAACACACACAAACACACACAGAAACACACACACAAACACACACACACAAACACACACAAACACACACAACCACACACACAAACACACACAAACACACACAAGCAGACACACACACAAACACACACAAACACACACACGGACACACACACAAACACACACACAAACACACCCACAAACACACACACAAACACACACACAAACACACACACAAAC